AAATTTGACTCCATGTAATGTGGAACGCGTTTTCAGTCGATCGAAGAGATAAAGCGAAATTCGCTGTAGAAGCTGAAAGTCATCCCAAAAAGGGTTAATGAAGAGTTTTTCGAGGACTGGAAAAATTGTTGGCATAAGTGTACTACAACTGATGGAATTTGATTGGAAGGCGACAAAATAAAATTGATGAATAATTAAACATTTTGTGTTTTATTTACAATTTCCTTGTACTCTTTTATCACAATTTTGAGAAATACGTAAAGCCTCTTGAATATGTTCTGTGATTTATAATTAAAATAGTAAATACGAATTCGCTTTCCGTGCAACCCTAAATGTAGGCAACATTTTAGGGAAAACGCTGATTTTTTTAGTCTAGGTTCAACTGGAAAAAGTAATTTGTAACATGAATCCGACTTGGGTAAACATGAATTTATTAATTTAACGACAAACATTTCGGCGAGTAAAGTATGTTTTTTYTAGATATGTTTCCTTTAAAAATTGAGTGAGCATCCGAATAATGCAAACTTACTTTCAGTGCAACCCTAAATGTAGGCAACATTTTAGGAAAACCGCTGACTTTGGTCTGGGTAGCATCAGTAGAAGAAGTAAAAAGTTTCTTTCGTAACACGAATCCGATATGAATAAACATGATTTAGTAATTTTTAGATATGTGGTTTTGTAGAAGAAATAAAAACCAAAAGTTCTCTTARTAAATGGTTTGTTTCGTTGACTATATAGCATGTAGCGCTGTCTTGTTGGCACCAACGGTCATTCTCATCAACATACTTCAAGTCAGGCATGAAAAAGTCATTAATCATCGCTATACCAYAATAACATGTTTAAAAAAATATAGATCAATGATTTCCTCTGCCAATAGAGCAGGGGTTTATTTATGTGGGAAGTAATGATTCGTCTTCTCACTTTACCTCGTCTTCAAACGGATGATTTTTGGCTATCCAGAGGATAGTTGGTCTAAGGCCGAAAGTCGTGAGCTACTTCAGCGTTATAGTACTTATAATCGTTTCTGGCCACTTCCTAGTGAATGGCGTTCAGATAACATTCCTCCCTTGCGTGAACTTCTACTCCACTTTTAACATTATTTCTCATAAGCAACCGTTTTCTTGAGAATTAAACACATGCCACATCATATAGAAAACATACTTTGATTTCTGAACCAACTCTCTCTTGCAAACACATTTTTAAAATTTTTTGAAAATAACTCATTGAAACTGAAGCAGTTTTCTATAGAAAACAGTTAAGAAAAAACTATGCGTTTTTCAAATTTAAGAGTTTTGCGACTGTTTTATAGTATGCAAAGAACATAAAGCCAAATCGAGTTTAAGAATATCACAAAAAGTAAAAAGTTTATACTGAAATTATGTAAGTTACGCCAAAAATTACATCCACATATAAAAAGTTTTTCAATTGGTGAAGTGGGATAAACTCTAATGTGATACATTATGGATTTCATGGTTTTTGCTGCGTGAAAAAATTGACTTCATCAGTGCCTTAAAAGCTGAATCCCCTATAATATTAATGGAAAGTTTGTATTGAAATTTTATTCCAAAACAAATTAAAATAATAACACTGCAAATGAAATGCGTTTCAAAATGAAAGTAATAAGAAGAATAAGAGACTATTAACAAAACAGAACAATAAGGAGTACTTATACAGTGTACTCACAATATGACCCAAATATTTTTCAAAACTTCAACCGGTACTTGATAATGGGTATGTGAATTGTTAAAAAAAAATCGCACAAAATAATAAAAAAAAAAAAATGCGTGAGTTTCAAAAGATGTTAAATAAGTGAATTGGGTTTTCGCTTAAAGAAGAGAAATAATTGCGCACGAAAATGTAAATATGCAATTATGAAGTCGCAAAGTAAGAATTGCGCCCTTTGGCAAGATTTTTGAACGTCTTTATTGTAAGCCAACACTTGAATGCTTATTTCCAGGTTCTGTTTTTTTACAATAAATCGCTTTGAGYCTTTCAATTCTTATTAATTTTGTTTGCTCTACTTGTTGCTGCATCCTCCTACTTTTCAACCAAGTAGTCTGGCTCAAATTTACACTTTCTTTAGAGTTGAAGTGCAGACATACATACATTTATGTAATTAAACGAGTACAAACATACATAAATACTTGTCACTACATTTCATGAATTCTTAATGTATATTCAATGTTGGCCATGTTCCCTTCAAGCTCTATGCGCAACGCATAAGCGAAGAAGCCCATAAAATATACACATACAAACATTCGAAATCAATGCCTGCTTCTTTCATGCCAATTATGCACGAGTGTACAAGTGTATGTATGTATGTATGTATGTRTATGATATCTATGTGTACCTTTGCAAAATTTCAATTTCTCTCAATTAAATTAAAACTGTACCTTCTTTGCCGTTCTTAAGTACACGTGTTGACCCGAAATGATWGTARTTTTGAGAGTTCGAAAAAAGTGTCGCTTWTTCGTTTACTTTGTTCGCTTTGTGATTTCACTTTCACCCAAAATAACCGAGCCTCGTCGCATGTAAAGGTGGACCGCCGGTCGGACGGTGGTTCAGTCGTTCGGTCACCGCAGGCTCGTTGGCCGTTGTGCTCATTCCGATGAAAATCTCTTAACAAATTAGTGGGTTGTAGCCTCGATCAACGTACTACAAGATGCCGTKTGTTTTGTTTCGTCGTTTTTTTCGTTTCCATTTTTTGGAAAGTGTCACTTTTTTGGGGGCACATGTAGTAAATATTGTGTATGCACGTGATAAATTTGTTGATGSTGAAAGAGCACCTACATAATGTGTCTGTAAGTAGCTGCAGGCAYATGCACGGCAAGTATGTGTGTTTGATTGTGTAGTCATGTATTTAGTACTTTTCGAGCACTTTCGCAACTTTGTATGCAAAATCAGGTCAATGGAGGATTTTGTTGTYTTTTTTTTATTGCATTTTTGCGCAATTTTTTGAGAATTTCATAAAGTTGAAATGAAATAAAATGGTGGCACACAAATATTTACCTATATTTATTAATGAATGTATATAGGTTAAAAAACTGCAACTTCACAGTGTTGTAAATATGCACTTCGTCTTCGAGTTAGCTACTTAGCACTTCATAAGCTCGAGTTCAGTTACTAGGTGTATGAGGAGTAGTCATCCATTAGGATACCTGTGCTTGTCGCGAATTTCAACAGACCCTGTGGCCTCGCTATCGATATCATAATGTGGGAAACCCAGATGTTTACAGCGTAATGTTGCCAATGCGGGTSAAGTGCACAAGAGAGGCCTGYTGCTTTGCTCTAGACATTTCCTGYAGCCTTCTCAATTCGTTAGCCACATTCTACGGTAGTATTTTGCCACCAGATGGTGACCAGTTAGTATTCCGAACATGTTCATGCAGTATCTTCGGCCGAGTGCCTATATGAATTTTGTGTACTTCCGATCTACCCTTTTGCGCATGACTYTTGCAGTTTTSCMYTCAGGCAGTCGTTCWACATTAATTCATTAAAACTTTATTTTTCATCTTAGACTTCCACGTATTTATTGATTTAGCAACCTTACTGACACTTATAGACATACATATTGTATATGGAGCTCTTCGCTTTAAGGTAACTTTTCAATCAGAGTTTTCTGAATTATACGGTACAGAAGAATATAATTATTTAACTTGAGCACTGATTTTCGAAACTTATAGGAGAATTTTCGACATACATATGTCTACATTATGCCAGAATTTGAATATTTATTTGAAATTGAAA